CTATTGCATCTATACATTAAATTACAGAACTGTTATTATCTCTTTTTTTAGAAGCAAGTTTTGCGCAAGCATTCAAGTTTAAAGTCAGTGCTTATAAGGAACTTAGCAAAAACATGATGGGAATGGGATGCCAGGGGAATAGATGATTCTCTCATCTGAAATGCATAATTAGCTTTTGGTTAAGTGTGCAATTAACATTAAAATTTACAATCAAGTATGATGGTGTTCTAAATTTACCTCCTTTAAATGAAAGGATTAACTTAGTTACCAGTGTTGCTTCTTTGAATCCCTTCCCTATGAGGTGAACTGCACAGTAACATCCTGTCATCCAGGCGACAATCCATACAAAAAGCTTTTAAAAAACACTGCACATTTGCCTTCTGGATGGCTACGCAGCTTGGGTTTTATTTTGGTTTACACTTTTTTTTTTTTTTTTGTAATGGTAACTGCCACTCAGCATAATTAGCAGTTGTCATGTTTCTGTTTGTAAAGATCCTTCCCACAAAAACAGAGCGATGTTGCTTTGCACCCTCTTCCCAGCTGTGCCTGATAGCTGCAACACATGTTTCAGACATCCAGTACAGCTAATCTCAGACCCCTACAGGTTTCAGCAGTTAAGCCGTAGAAACATTTCTGTTAATGGGAAAGAAAAAGCTATACTCATCCTAGCAGTTTAAATCTGATAAGCAGCACCTTAAAAGAAAAGTCAGACTGCAGTCTAAATACACTGTCTCCATCTGAACATCACATCCTTTCTGCCTTTTAACCTGAAGTTAAATTTAACCTCTATTTACCTTTAAAAAAGGGGGTTGGAAGTAGTTTCAACTGTAATATCAGCAACCAAACCCTACATTTAATTATGTTTATTATTGATCACATAGATGTTTATAGTATGTGCAGCAAAACCGAGGCTCCACTATGCAGTGTGCTCTACAAAAGTATGATGACAGTGTAATGAAATTCCTCACACAAAGCACATCTTGTGTGGTGTGCAAAGTGTTGCGGCACGCAAGTGTTTTAAGCTAAACACTGCAAATGATTTTCCATGAATACATTTGTGCTACTATCCAAAAAGCTCATGGAATTAACCTAGATTGGGCCAGCACGAAGGACCCAGTTTGCCCCTCAGCAGCTGATCTCAGTGCTACATTGCTCAAGAATTCTGCCATTATTACTACTTACCGCCATTGTTACTCACCACCAAAAAACACACAAATGCACGGAAGGAAGAAAAAAAAAATAAAACAATCTCACTTTGCTCTCACCTAAAACCAAAATCACTTTTATTCATTCACCCTGCTTCCATCTGGATCTGGACGAAGTGGCCTTCTCTAGCTGCTAGGCAACCTGAGCGCTGCATTGAGTATTAACTGTATGCATTTGCTGAGAACCTAACAATGTTACCTTTGAGATTTATTTATAATAAAAACCATACCTAGCTGAAAATATAATAGCTTTCCTTCAGTAATCAGTAATTAGCAACTCTGGACAAAACTGTTGGTCAAGAAAGAAATAATCCAGACATACGCCCCACATACAGAGAGACATTATAAATCAGCTCCTTACAAATATATGGTAAGGGAGATGCTTTATATGAAAGTATTATTATATATGGCAGTGGCACAAAAAAATCTAATCTAAGAATTACATTTATGTAGATATTAGAATATCTACATAATATATTAATATATTTACATAAGTAATGTTTTAAATTAGAAATGTTTAAGTTACCAAATCTCATCCAACTACAAAATGAACTTCCTCAGTAAAGGTCATTTATTCAATTTACATAAGACCACCATTCCTAAACAAGACAGAAAAGACTTGAAATTAAAATACAGTCAACTGATCTTGGAGTTCTTTAAAAAACAAAACAAAACAAAAAAACACACCACACCCCAAAACATTATTTCACATAACCTCTCTGGACCATTTTACTGTTTTCTTCTCTAGCAGCAGAGCTATAATTCTACAATAAAAACACCATTAATATCTTCTGCTGTGTCCCATTCCTCTCAAACTCAAGAGAAAGAGATACTCCTTTCAAGTCTTTTCAAAGCAGATCATTTCCCAGACTGCTAGGTCACTAGCACAACTGATAGGAATCTTATTAAAATATCAATTTGGGTGATTGACATGTTAATGTCAACAAAGCAAGAGGCCCACTAGCAACACCAAAATTGAACAGAGCAGCATTTTTTTTTTGATCATTACACCTGACAGCTTGTCAAATCCTGATTCACAAAATACGTACTTCCTCAAACTCAGCACAAACACAAAAGCTAGATCTCTAGCTTGAAAACGCTCATCAGTTTCTACTGGAGATATTAACCATGAGACAGACCAGAAAGACATTCAATGACACAGCGACACGCTGTTAGTCTTTGCACGCAGCTGCTTGGCAGTTGAAGTGGTGTGAATTTTTCTTAAATCTAAGAAAACCCAAGGAGCTCTTTGTAGGCGGAGTCCTACACCCAAACATTCTGCTGTTCTGTTCAACACGGGGAAAAGTCAATGTAGAAAGTCCCAGTGATCACTGATCTCTCTGGCTCACAGCACAGCAGTACTAACTTTCCCCCACAACCTTGAGATTTGCAGGGCACAAAACAAGGTTATTTGTGCACAGCCCTTGAGCACCGCCAGTCTGCCACAGCTGCACGCACTTAAGAGGTCCACAAGCACCCATGAACTGAAAGAAACCTGGCTCCGCACAGCAGAGAACATTAGAGGTTCCTAGAAGTGCTCCTCTCTGGATTTTATAAAGACATTTGAAGTGGTTAATTTAAACACTTGTACCTTCTCCTTCACTTAGTTTCACATTAAACCTGATTCAGGTAAGACTTAACATCAAGCTTCAGGGGAGCATAATTAAAAAAAGTCAACATAACTTGAAAGTTGAAAGTAAAAACAAAGTGTTCAATGGAGCCGCAGGGTCCCACACTCACAAAATTCAATAGCAGCTGTAAATCGTTTTAAAAAGTAATTGGAACACAGTTTTGGTATGCTAATGGTCCCCACTACTACTACACCTACCCTGAAGAATACACTGAAAAAGCAAGTTTAGTCTCAGGACAGGCAGGAGGTAAACAAGTTCAAATGCTGTGGTTTTTTATAGGAGATACACACTTATTGTTTTTGTTAAGGTCCTTAAATCATGACTCACATCAGAGATCCATGCAAGGAACACAGAAAGAGAGAAGAAAAGAACATGAGTCACTCTGGAAACTGTCAAGCACTTACATGAACCTTTTATTGAAAACAAACTTTAAATCAACAATGCTGTTGGTTACTCCAATATTACAGGTCCTATACATAGCACCCTCTGAGGAATCCACCCAACATCTCTTTTCATAGGAAGTTTAAGGTTATTAAAGCCTTTTTCCCCTCAAAACCTTCAAACAGATTTAATTAAGATTATTGCTTAATTCATTTTAATCCCAGTACCCTTGCAAAAAAAACCCAAATATTCCATGGTGCTTTCTGTCTTGCTTTTACACAACTTAATCTTGGAACATGAAATTCTCTAATAAGACAGACAAACTGGATGGAAGTCATCTTTAGTTGCTTACAGGGCCTGAAGTACAAAACATTCTTATTACCTAAACACTAAATTAAATCAAACAGTTTCATGTCAGGTTATCTCCATTAGTTTCAATGCCAGAATTTTGCAACATGAAAAGGATCTTTTATTAAATAATTTGTTTTACCTTGTACCCAGCAGCACAGAAATAAGATGAATCATCTTAGATTCTCACTAATTTATTGTGACTATTCAAGATCATCACAATAAATAAAAAAACTAACGTGATTACTATAATATTACATTTAAATGCATTAATTAAAGTTTAATTATAAATCAAGAGTATGTAGATCAATTAGAAGACTATGCTCTTAGCTGGGGCAGGATTTGGGTAGAAATGCTGTACAGTTTCAACTCATCTTCAATTCTGAACTTTAAGCTAAGTAGGCACTAATTAGGCAGCTACTTTGAGTTAGTAAGCTAACTCCTTTGACATTGTTTAAGAGAATATTAGCTTCCTATGTTCTATTTGAGATCTTTTCTTTTTATGCAAAACAGAAGACAAGAATCTTGCTAACTGGAATTCCAGCTGGAGCCATGCAGTACTTTAAAACACAGCAATCTGAGCCTAGTTTCTTTTTAAACATACTGAGTAATTCACTGGGACACAGAGGGTTTAAGCACCAGCAGGATAAATTGCACTTGCACCACAGGGTTTAAGTAATTTGCCAGCCAGTAGAATAAAAGGAAACATTTCGTTTCCATAAAAAGAAACATCATGAGCTACTGATGATTGCTTGGCCTTGGTCTGCCACTTTGCGGCTCAGGAACTTTTTATTTTTTAAACTAGGTTAGGATGCTGTAATTCAAAAAGGGTGAAAATGTCCCATGACTGGGTGTTTGAGCAGAAGGAGACCCCATCTTACCTGCACAAGTTCTCTCCCCATTTGATTTACCAAGAAGTTGTGTCAGCAGAGATGGTTTGAAGCATACCTCTGTCTTCCCCTGAGGAATCCTGGACGGATGAAGTGAGCTGGCTTGGTGCTGCTGAGCAGGTACATGAGTTGCAGGAACATGTAAGTGTCTTATTTGGAGGACATAAGCTGACAATAGAAGCTATGTGTAGAGTTCGCTCATTAAGCGCTCACTGAATTTCGTCACCTACTAGTGCTCACTCAAAAAGCGCTATATTAAAGGGCTCCAGACCTGCTTTGGGTTTGTTGCAGTTTAATAGTACACTGACTCCTGAGAACACGGAGCAGCTGCTTGAGACCATGTCAGGAGTCCCACCAGCTGAGCAAGACACCAATACAAAGGAAACTCGCTATACTGAAGAGAGGCAAATGATACAGCCACACAAAACTTAATGAACAATCAAAATCTATATTAATCCAAAAATCTACTCCCAAACAAGCTATTTTTTACCATCATATCTTTGCTGGGATTAATATAAAGCATTTTTGAAAATGCTGGCACTTACCCAAATCTGCAGTTTCACCCGCTTGTCATTCCTATAAACTGTTTTCACTTTGAAGTCAATTCCTACTGTGCTAACGAAAGCTGGTGTGAAAGTGTCATCGGCGTATCTGAAGAGGAAGGATGTTTTACCCACGCTGCTGTTGCCAATGATCAGGAGTTTGAACATATAATCAAAATTTTGATCTGAAGTATCTTTCTGCCTGTATCTGGCATCTGTTACTGAAGCCATCTAAAAAAAATGACAAACATTGAAAAAGAACAGATTTAAGAGCAGTTCAGCATTTGTTTTCCTTAACTGTGTACCATATGTTTAGCTCTTCTTTCTAATATCATAACCACTATATCTGCTGAATAAAGAGGAACACACCTTAAAATTTTATTTTAAATCCTCGCTTTAAATTTCTGTTACCCACTTGTACTGGTAAGATTTCCAAACCCAAGAAATACACCTGTTGTGCTGTTTTGTGTTAAAAGAGTAACAGATGGCTATTGCAGATTGTTCAAATACTAGTGGGGAAACAGCATTCTTTACTCCAGTGACAGGATGCCACTTCTGTTGCTCCAATAAACTGGAGTACTTCAACCAAGAACTAAAATCTTTGACAGTGCATACAGCTATGCAATTCATTAAGCAGCCTCCAAGGCAGGTTAACCTAAATAATTCCGTTTCTGATTACTAGGGAAAAATCTGCATTTCTAGCACAGGCACCACCACCATTTTATCCTTAGAAAAGTTCTGTCCTCAACATTTGCAGAAAAAAAAAAAAGCAATGGGAGAAGATGAAACATCAGGAATTTCAACTGACAACTTTGAATCCATCCAACACATACCTACTCTCAAGACTGCAATTAAAATAAACAGCACCTGCATAAAACATGAGGGCTCAGTGAGGCTGCAGGTGGCATTTGGAACGGATAAATTATCCCTTTTTATTATGGGGATGTGAGAGTTGGAGATGTTAGTGGAGTGGGGAGGGGCTAAGATGCAGCCTCAGAGATCCCTCCATCTCTTGTGACCCTGAACTGGATTCAGAAACCAAAAAAACTGCGACATCTGAAATATCAAGATGGGTAGTGCACACTGAGCAGCCCTGGCTGCTTTAATGTACGCAGTTCAGACACTCCATAGAAGGCAAGGCCCTGACTTTTCATCTGTTTGTACAGAGCAGAAGACAACTACATAGACCAAATTACTACAGAGAGGAGAAAAAGGAAACTTTACCCTTTTAACAGATACGCCACACTTTTAATCTCTAATGCTGTTTCAAAATCTATCCCACATCAAACAAGCAAGGGTCTCGACCCCTTATAACCAGTCCTGGGGTTGTGCAAACCGAGGCAATGACAGCACGGGTCTGATTAGCAGGTACTCATCCAAACCAGGACATGTGCTACTTGTATGCAGTGTCAGAAAGCACCGAGTAGAGACCAAAGTCTCTTCTTCCCCCGGAATATAAAGAAATAAGTTAATTTTCTCCTCAACTCAGATTCACGGGCACCTTTGGGAACAAAACTCCCACCAATGTCTACTCCCACCACATGCCCAAGTACTTTCCTTCTTAGCAAGTCTCACCTGCACACAGGACATCACTCACTCACTGAAAAAAAAAAAAATAAACCCACAAAAAAACCCCACAAAACACCACAAAAAAACCAAAACAAACTGTTCAAAACTCACTGCAGTTAAACAGCTATAAACCAAAATGCTCTCCAAAGGCAATTTAAATTGGGATGACAGTTTAACTTAAATTCTCAAGAGACAGGAAACAAACCAAATCCAACCCAGTTTAAACTTCAGTAAAATACGCATGATTATCTCTGATTAAACACGTGCAACTTTCTCACACAGAAAAGGGCTGGTGCAGCAGACATTTCGTTCACAGATTGCATTAACAAGGACAGTTTCTGAAGAACTTTATCAGTAGCTCAATAGTCAACAGCTGCACTAAATGCAGTAAAATCTTCCCACAAGTGATTCTCTGTAGGATACAACCCAATTCAGATACACGCTCTTCTGAACTTCAGCTGCTATTCAGAAAGACTACAGTCCTGTGCAAACACTCCAGAAAACCCAAGTACAAATTTTCTTCTCACCAGTGTATCAGAAAAGGGCTCTTCTATTCGTGCCTTGTGGTTCATAACAGGAATTTCTAAAACGAAGAATTCAACACCCAACTGACTTCCACACACACACTCAGACCAATGCACTCACTGCCTCAGTTCAAATGCTAGAAATCTCAGCTGCAAAAATTATGAATCCAGATAATTAGTTGATTTGTACCATCACCAAGCTGGAAGACAATAAGAAGTTATCTATTTGAGTAATTTATCTTCCTCATAAACATACATAACTTCCACAAGTGCCATTGAGAACACATGTGCACCTGCTAAAGAAGAAAAAAAAAAACCTAAAAATCTCTACTTCTCCATTCCACTCACAGACGCTTGAAAAAGTGAGATGCCCTCATCACTTGAATCCTGGTCATTTAAAGATTCAGAGGTAGACCTTTAACAAAGAAGTATTCCACTAATCATACAGGAATCAATACCTTCTTTCTATCCCTGCCTTCGCAGAATCCATCTGCACACTCCAAGCTGATCTTTCAAATGAAACACTGCTGCTTCTATTAACCCCCCCTAGATTGCTATAATCAAAAGCATACCTGGCTACAAATGCTACTTTCAGATCTCGGTTAAAAAAGCAATTACAGAATGCGGCCAGCTAGAGAAGCTTTGTTAGAAGCACAATGCAGAAAATAGGATCCAATGATACCCGCACGGAACGCGGGGCTGTTGTCATAGAAGCACAACACTCGCCGGCCTGCGCGTGCCACTGTACTACGCTGAAGATGCTGCAGGCCGGCTCCCTGAATCGTTAGAGGCAGCATCGGGGCACAACAGTTTCAAAGAAAATTCCATCCCCTTGCTTAAATTTGACTTTTCCCTTTCCTCTTCTCTGATCGACAGAGTGAAACTGAAAGGACTTCAGCACTAATTACTGATGACTCCTCTGATTGCAGATCATCACTGAAGCAGTGCTCCACCAGCATTTGGGCTGAAGGAGTTCTCAGGGCTGCCCCTGAGTTTGCGCTTCAATCCTGAAGCCAGGAACCAGTAGACCTTTCTCCCAGTTCTCCTCCCCTCCCTTCCTCTTCCTCACTTGTTGACCCATCCCTGCTCCAAGCCCTCCCCAGTTACGGCAGTCCTGAGGACCGCACAGAGAGCTGGTTCACAGAACAGAGAGATCCCAGTTAAAAATAAACCCTCCTACAACTTCTCCTGTTTTGCAGGGCTGGTTTTAAAGTTGGTTCAGTTCCTGATCCAGCACAGCTGAGGGAGCCAAGCAGAGGGGACCAAGCAGTGGGAAGCGCTGGCAGTTGCTATGTTACTGAGAGAAAGGTCCATGAAATCACAAATCCTGCAGGCCCTCCGCACCTGGCGGAGATTCAGCATCAGCAGTGGAAGGAAAAGGCGACAACACACTTGATGTCGCGCAGCTCCTGTCCAACTCGCCAGAACAGCTCACGCAGCCGTCACTCCCAGAGGATTTGATTCCCTCCTTGGTGAAAGGATGTTTGGTCGGCAGCGTAACCCCCTGCTCTCTGGGTACACAGCTACATACGCTCTTTGCTTAGGATGACTCCAAACACAAGAGTGTCTCTGCTGTTTTACAAGCGTGTGCAGACTAACTGGGGCTCTATGACAGAAAACCAAGTCAAATACGACTGGCATGCAGAGCGCAAAAGAAAGGCTCGTGACTGTTTTCATTTTGACTGCCTTGGAATAATCCTCAAGAAAATACCTATAGCAGGAAAGACTTAGCTACATTACAGAAAACCCATTATACAGGAGAAGAAAGAGCTGCCAAGCAGATTGTCCTTGAGAACACTTCAGTACAAGACCTTGCATCTTTCAGTTCTTCACCTGAGTATCCCACTTCTTTGTGCCTAAAAGCATACTAATATTGACAACCTGTTTTCCCTGTATGCTTTAGCAATGGGAACAAGGTCTCAAACACATCCACTTCCAGATAGTTTTGCGAGAATAGGCAGTTACGTAGCTATGAGATACCTTATTATTTCCCTATTGAGGAAAAAACCTGCAGTGTGAGCTCGTCTTTTATTAGACAGAGAAACCACATAGGAGAAGGATGCTACAAATGCTCTAAAGCAATAAAATCTTAATCAGAGCTTATTGGCCACCAAAGAATACGTTCCTCAGTCAAGGTGTCTCTCCTGTCTTTATTTTATATTTTGGCATAATGAAGTTTAAAAAAATGAAGCCTATCACCATAAGACACCTCCGTGGGAAACCAGTCTTCACTGCTTTCAGTACTCACTGAAATGTGTCACATAGATGGCTCCACACAGCTATGCTCTTTAATTTGTGACCAACACCATGGTGAAGAATCGAACTGTTTTGTAGCGCAATGCAAACCATCAAAGTATTACTGCTCTTACAAATCACTAAAAGTGGTCACTGCTGCCCCAGTTCTGCAGTATTTATTGCCTACAGCCAACTTTAGTGAAAAGTAGTACATGAACTGCCTAAAGCTGATAGTGTTGACTAGAAATCAACTGGTATACCTTGCCATCCATTTACTTCCAAAAAAAAAACCCCTAATGCTGAATTCAAGTGTTTCCAGACTTAATCATTTTGGCTACAAACTAACAGAAGGTTGTTCTTCTCTATCCGCTCACAGACAGGAAACAAGAAATCTGATCATTACCTTGGAAGTTTAGGCATCTCTGTATTAGCAACCACATGGGTCTGTTCAGACATGGCCATTTCCACATCCTACCCTCTCTCACAGCATTGCGAGGAAGAAGTCTGAATTGCCTTTGGAAAAGGATCTCCTTGTCTGCCGTCAGTCACCTCAGTTAACCATGAAACATGGTCACACTGATGGAACTGTTCATTGCAGGGCAGTTGGACAAGATGACCTTTAAAGGCCCCTCCCCACCCAAACTAATCTATGATTTTAACTTTCACTTCAAACTACACACAAAGACATATTTGCAATTTCAATTTGTTATGAACCTCTGTATTCTATGTATTACAAGTTCTGTGCGTTTCTAACAGTAAAAACATCTTTTAATATTTGTCACGGCTTTATTTTTAAAGCCCAAACTGAAATTTACTACATATGTTTTGTGTTATATAGAACCCGTGGCAATTTAAATGTGACTGTTTAACTGTTGCATCATCATCTACAAGCACACACGTTTC